TCTTCGGGGCCCAGCGGGGATGCACAGCCACCTTTGGTGGAGATCTTTAGTCCACCTTCAGACTCGGTGTCCTGGCGTCGCCTTTCTTTCTAGTAGCTCATTAACCTCCCCTGATCTGGCATTTTAAGCCCCAGTGGTTTCTGCTCCGTCCAGAGTCGGTTTTATGACAGTCTCCCTTTTCTCCTCCCCCTCCTGGCTCCTCCACCCTCCGAAGAAGCAGCCTCGGGAGGAATTTATTAGGCCAGGGTCCAGATGCAGGACTGAGATAAGTGTTTTACAGCAGTGTGGGGAGATGGGCGGGCGGAGGGACAGGCCAGTCTGCAGCGGCACATTGACGCTGTCCCCATGGAGGATGATGAGAATTTTCTAGGGTTTTGTTGGGGATTTTGTTGGCACTGGGGACTGAACCCAGGGAGCCTCACCACTGAGCTACTTCCTCAGCCCTTTTTATTCTGAGACGGTGGCTTTGGCCTTGCTACATTGTGAGTCTGGTCTGCCACTTGCAGTCCTCCCGCCTTCCCTCCTGAGTCACTGGGGTTACAGGTGTTCGCAAGGTACCCAGCTCCCAGAATCTTCTAGTTTTTATAGTGACCAGATGTTAGACAGGGGAGGCCTGAGGACCCCTGAAGAGTCACGGATCACTGACATTTACAGGTTGGCTACAAAGGAATTCTAGTAGTCCTTCCCGCTCTTCCTTGTCCCCGCTGAGGGGTCGAGATAGGTCAGGTTTCCACCCAGAGTGAACCCGAGGTGCAGAGCAAGGGTTCTTGTGTACCAAGGTCAGGGCGCCCTCAGAGGGTGGACTAGAAGGATCTGCCCTGGCCTTTCTGAGGGATAGAGACCACCAATGGCCCTCGGAAAGTGTGGATTCCGTCTTAAAAAGCCCCTTTCTCCAGGGCCCGGCTGGGGAGGGAGGAAGCCGCAGGGATCTTAGGAATGCAGCCAGCCTGGCCTCAGCCAGACGCAAGAAGCCAGCCAGAAAGAACAGGAACAGGAGCGTCCTCCGACTCCAGGCCACACCGTCCCCGGGACACCAAAGTCACTGTGTGGCCCTGTAGCTGCACACCCTGCCCTGAGAGCCACCCCACAGCTTCACCCGGGACCCCAGTGCCAGGTTTGATCAAGTCAGCTCCCCTCGGCTGGGGGTATGGCTCCGTGGGTAGAGTCCTTGCTTCAGATGCCCAAGGCCCTGGGTTCAGCCCCCAGCACCCCCCCCAAAAGCTACCTTGCCTCAAAATACGGCCCCCATCAGAGGCAGAGGGGCCAGTGCCCCTGAGTTCTGCCCTGTGCCTGCCGACTTCCCCACCTTCTGGAGCTGTAGGAGGCCAGGGGAAAGTGGCCCTCAGGAAGCGCTGGAGAAGGGCAGGTCCTCCTCAGAGTCCCAGTCGGGATGAGCCTGCTTACCCCAGGGAGCTGCAGCCTCCCTGCCCTGCCCACGCAGGCTGGCCTTCCTGTCCCCTCGGCGTGACCAACACCGTCTGTTCCCACCAGCTCCCTTCCCGCCCCCAGTCACCCTGGAAATGGACTGGTCGGCAGGGCCGGGAGCTGGCGCCTGTGGGAGCTGAGAAGTCCGGCTGCCATACAGCAGAAGAGGCCAGTCCCCCCGGCTGTCATACAGCAGAAGAGGCCAGTCCCCCGTTCCTTCCGTCAAAGACAGAGCTTGGCAGGAGCCTGAGAGGGGTCCTGGCACTGGGGTCCCGGGTGAAGCTGTGGGGTGGCTCTCAGGGCAGGGTGTGGAGCTACAGGGCCACACAGTGACTGGTGTCCAGGAGACGGCGTGGCCTGGAGTTGGAGAGAGGCGCGGTCTCCCTGCTTACTCCACAGCGGTTGGCCATGTGGCCGGGGGAGCACACGTTGGACAGGGCTGTGGCTGCGTCATCCCTGCCATCGCTGCTGTCCTGGAGGAACTCAGCTCATCCTGCAGAAGTCAGGGTGGGGAGCAGGCGGCCGTGTTTGGGCTGCTCAGCCAGCAGCCCACGGCCCGGCCTCCCTAGAGCCAGAGGCCCGGCTGCAACCAAGCCTGGTGTCCTCTATGGCCAGGGAGGAGGAGACGAGTCTCCGGGACACGGCAGTGCGGCAGATGGATTCTCTCTGCCTTCTATTCAAAGAGAACCTGAGGTCAAAATTCCTGAGGAGCCGGTCACTACAGAGTGGGACCCAGCGTTGAGACGGAGACTGCCGCCCAGGCGCGGCCTGCCAGCTCCACGCGAGCAGTTCCCCTGGGTCTCCACGACAGCACAGCCTGGCTCCTTCCTTTGTATGACAAGGACTTCGGGTCGAGGCCAGCAGTGGCAGCGTGGGGGTGGGGGCCAAGACGTCTACGCAGCTTCGCTGTGACTGCCCTCTGGCCTGGGGCTTGGCCTCCTTCCAGAACATGAGTGGCTGTGCCGGGGGGCAGCGCACCCTCCTCCAGGAAAGAAGCCCGGCCTCCCCCGGCCGCTGGAGCCCGAGGGCCCCCACCCCAGTGTTCCTTAGTCGCTGGGACTGCTGACCCCCGTCACCGCAGCCACAGCCCAGGTGAGGGCTCGGCCTGATGGGGCCAAGGGTCAGAGGCGCTCACCTGCGCCAGCCTCCTGCTGCAGTCACGGTCGGTCCTCGGGGGACCCCTCCACCTGCAGGGGCCATGACGGGTCCTCGGGGGACCTCTCCACCTGCAGGGGCCGTCACGGTCCTCGGGGGACCCCTCCACCTGCAGGGGCCATGACGGGTCCTCGGGGGACCCCTCCACCTGCAGGGGCCATGACGGGTCCTCGGGGGACCCCTCCACCTGCAGGGGCCGTCCCGGGTCCTGGGGGGGGACCCCTCCACCTGCGGGCGCGGGCACCTCGGGGCCTGGGGTGAGGGTGGCGCGGGAGGCAGTGGCGACGCGGGTGTCCCTGCTGCGGTGAACAGAGGCTGCGAGGGGCCGGCAGAGCCGTGCTGGACAGGGCAGCTCCACGAAGACGAGGAAGTCACGAGGATGAAGGGACGTGGCAAGCACGCCCTAGGGACAACCAGAGGAGCGGGGTCCGTTGGGACGTCCTTCAGCCATTGCACAGACTCCCAGGTAGGAAGGGGCCCCCGTCACCGAGCGTCCACCGGGAGCCGGCCCGGCCACTGGGCTGCGCGCGTCCTCTCACGGACTCTGCACAGAATCGGGGTCCACGCGCCCGTGTCCGCACTCTGCAGATGGGGACCCTTCAGAAAAGCTGGGCGGCCGTCCGGGCCACGCCAGGAGTGTGCGGGGAGCCGAGGCCCACTGCTGCCTGCGCCCCAGCCAACCGCACGCGCCCTGCGAGGGTCCTGGTGGGCAGAAGAGGCCGCCCTAGCCTGGACGTGGTTCCCTGGCACTGGGGGCCAGCCGAGGCACCCCACTGGCCGCGCCCGGCCCTCTGAGGCAGGGTCCCGCTGCCTCACCTCCTTACTGAGGCCGCCGGGAACCTGCGCTCCCCCTCCTCACGGAGGAAGAACTTTAACATAATCAGTGCTGAGCGGCTGGCCACTAGAGAGGCTCCAGCAGAGGGTACAGGAGGGAGGACAGAGGACAGTGCGAGCAGTAAGGACCACAGCAGCCATACCTGGGAACTCAGAGAAACAGCCTTTTCCTCTCCTTTTTGTGGCATTGGGGATTGGACCCAGGGGTGTTCTGCCACTGAGATAAATCTCCAGCCCTTTTTATCCATTTGTTTTACTTTAAGACAGGGTCTTGTACGTTGCTGAGGCTGGCCTCAAACCTGGGATCCTCCTGTCTCAGCCTCCAGAGTAGCTGGGATGACAGTGGTGTGCCACCATCCAGGCTACGAATGCCCTGCCACATAGATAGATGGATAGATAGATAGATAGATAGATAGATAGATAGATAGATAGATGGATAGATAGGTGGTGTAGGTGGACAGCATGCCTTTACTGTGTTTTACCTTTGGGTGGTGCTGAGGATCAACCCGTGCCTCACGCGGCCAGGCAGGCGCTCTGCCGCTGAGCCCAGCCGGGCCATGCCAGCTCTACTTTAGCCAGCCCTCCTAGTGACTCCACACACACGGGTTTGAGGACCACGGCATCTAAGTCGCTGCCCCTGCAGAAGTGCCCCACTGGACCACCTGGTTCTCTCCATGTCCAGAACTCGCGTCCTCTCACCACAGGCAGGGACGGTTTTGGCTGCCAGCTGCACAGCTCCACTGCAGACCCCTCGGGCGGCCTCCCTGACAGCTCCCTGCTCCTTCCCCTTTGGCCGGGAGCAGCTCAGTTCTCTCCTCCCACTCCCCAGAACCTGCTCTCAAGCCAGGTGCCGTGGTGCCCACCTACTTGGGAGGCTGAGACAGGAGGATCCCACGTGTGAGGCCAGCCTGGGCAACTTTAGTGAGAGTCTGTCTCAAAATAAAAAATAAATAAAACTTTTTAAAAGGCCTGGGATGTCCCTCTGGGTTCAGTCTCCTGCCCCGGTGTGTGGCGGGGGGCTGCTCCGGGAAGCACTGGCAGCTTGCTTTACACCTGGGGCACATTGTGCCTTCCCGGCTTCTGTCTGTCCAGTTCCAGCCTGACCACGGGTCACCGAGTAAGATCTTTTACCCTAAGGTAAAAGAAGCAGTTTCAGGGCATGGTTTTTCTCGGACTGTCCAGCACCTTCGTCTAATTCTAATACAAAAATCTGTGGGGTGGGCGGGCTGCAGTGGCGCCTCCTGTCATCCCAGCAGCTCCAGAGGCTGAGACAGGAGGATCGTGAGTTCAAAGCCAGCCTCAGCAATAGCCAGGCGCTAAGCAACTCAGTGAGACCCTGTCTCTAAATAAAACACAAAGTAGGGCTGGGTGTGGCTCAGTGGTCAGGTGCCCTGAGTTCAATCCCTGGGACCTCCCCCCTCAAAAACATGGGTGGTGGGTGGTAGAAAGGGAGGAAAGTGGAGGAGGTGGTGGTGGAGAGAAAAGAGCAAAGCCTACCGTGCGGGTAGGGGAGAGAGCGGCAGGAAGACCCCTGAGTGCTAAGAACCTACTCTGTGGTTTTCAAAGACCAAGTAGGAGAGCGGCAGGCGCCAGCAGGCGGAAGTGGGGAGCTGGTCTGAGAACGTGAGCTCGCAGCCTGAGAGCAAGCGCGTCCGTCCGTCTGTCCTGAGGTAAGGGAGCCACTGGGACCTGAGGTCTGGGAACGGGGGACGGTGACAGCTGCTGTGGTGAGGGCTGGCCGTGCTCAGGGAGAGAGCGTTGGTCCAGAACCCCCAGACCCCAGGACAGGGGCCGGGGCCGGGGGCTGGGGGTTGGGACAAACCTCGGTGACGTCGCTGGGAAACTGCTTCTTGGGGGCAAGACCTTCTGCCCTCAGAAGTCTGGGGAAGAGAGACCCGGGGCGGGTGCTCACTCTTCTCCCAGGGGCTCCCGGGAAGAGCCACAGGGTGTCACAGGAGGGTGCCAGGCGGGCACCTGAAAGGGCCTTCCCCGACAGGCCCAGCCCCGCACACTGCTGCAGACATGGGGCTGCTCCCTCGTGGGGGTGCGCATGGGGCGGGGATGGGGCGACAAAGGACAGAGTGGCCTTTTCATAGATAAAGAGGAGACAAAGAGTCACTGGAAGAGGCGGGGGCTGTGGTCAGTGGCAGGGCACCCGCCTGGCACGTGCGGGGCCTGGCTCAATCCCCGGCAGCACAAAGCAAATAAACGGATGAATTACGGAAGAGAGGTACCGAGGTGTGGACCCCCACGTCCAGGCCTGGACAGCTGCTAGGCCCCCAGAGCTGCCTGTGTGGCACGCGGACAGAAGCTCAGCCACAGGGGGAGCATGCACTGGGGCTGCCGCGAACAGAGCGGCCGCGGCCCCTGGTGGGGTGTGGGCAGAATAAGGTTGAGAGTTTCAGGGTGACACACGCAGTTGAGGGAATCATCCCCTGTTTAGCTCCAGAGCTCTGACGGACCTGGCCGTCCCTGAAGTTCAGGGGGTGTGGCCCTCTACCAGGCCCATGGACGGTCCGCTGTGGGACCCATGGGTCTGGGGGAGACGATGTGTCTTTTCCGCCAATCTCTGATTGAACGTCGCGTTCTGCCTTAATCATAAACACAGGCAGGGCGTCGCCAGAGAATCTGCCGTCAACAGAAACCATGGAGGTTTTCAAATCTCCTTACAGTGGTGACGACTCCTGCTGTCCTGGAGCGAGGCTTTATCTGATGCGTCAGGCTACACTCTGTCACACGTTCTTGTCCTGACAAGGGTCTCGAGGGACCTTGTTTCCTTTGTGTTTTATTTCATTATTATCGGCAGTGGCCACTGAATCCAGGGAGCTCGACCACTGAGCCACGTCCCAGCCCTTTTCTTTCTTACTTTGAGACAGGAGAATTGCTGAGAGCTGGGTCCTTGTCCCCAGTGCCAATCCAATAACGAGAACACAGTTTTAGGGTTTTTGATATTTTTTTTAGTTAAACATGGCCACGATGTCTTTATTTTGTTTGTTTATTTTATGGGGTGCTCAGGATGGAACCCAGGGCCTCACACGGGCGAGGCCAGCGCTCTGCCACTGAGCCCCGGCCCAGCCCCAGAACTCAGTTTGAGAACAAGGAAAAGGAAGCTTTATTGTGGGCTAGCAGAGGAGAGGCACAGGGCTCGTGCCCCACGGCCGGGGCTCTGCCATCACAGGAGCAGGGGGCTTTCAGAGGTGACTCAAAGGCGTCTCTCCAGGTGTTCTCTGCTGGAAGTGTGATTCCCTCGACAATTTGGGATTGAGTCATTTCTGAGCTCTTCTGACTCCTTCCCCAAAGCCTGGATTACTTGGTTCCCAGGGTGGGTGTGTGCTCAGGGACAGACGGCTCTGCGGAGGATGAGGAAGAAAGGTGGTCCCATTTCCCTTGAGATCAGGGAGAAGCAGGGAGAAAGGAAGAAAAAGAAACGTCCATTTAGAAAATAAGTTGAGAAATAAGTCAGTCCCCGTGGAGAGCAGCCAGGGCTGCATTCACAGCACAAAGGGCCACTGTTACAGGGAGCCTGGCGGCGTTGCTGGGGCTGGCTCTGACCTCGCCACCCTCCGGCCTCAGCCTCCAGAGAGTACAGGCTGGGCCACGGCACCGGGGAGTGTGGCTCTGCTCTGAACAGGCTCTGGCTGTGCAGCTGGAAATGAAGGCCCCTCCAGTCACTAGTGAGATCTCCTCTCTGGGTCCCGGCGTCGAACTCAGTTTCTTTTTGGTGCTGGAGATTGAGGGGGTCGCTTTGCTGCCGAGGCACACCCCTGCCCTCTTTAAAACGCCATCTTCTTTCATGTAGAGACAGGGTCTTGCTGAACTGTCAGGACCTCGCTGCGTTGCTGGGGCTGGCCTTGAACTCGCGACACGCCGCCCCGGCCTCCCCCGGAGTCCTGCGGAGAAGGCTGGGGTGTGCAGCCCCTCTGAGGTGGACTCGGGCGGCAGTGCCAGAGACAGAGCCTCTCCCCCAAGTCTTGTCGCAGCAGCCACCAGGAGGACTCACTCCCCAAGGCCCTCGGGAGAGCTTTAGGTGCCACGTAGCCACCACGACATCCCTCGGGGCGTTGAGCACGCAGGCCCCGTGAGGCCACGCAGGTCCACCAGGCCATGAGGGCCACAGGAGGGACGGGCCACAGGAGGGACGAGGGCCACAGGAGGGACGAGGGCCACAGGAGGGACGGGCCACAGGAGGGACGAGGTACAGGAGGGACGGGCCACAGGAGGGACGGGCCACAGGAGGGACGAGGGCCACAGGAGGGACGGGCCACAGGAGGGACGAGGTACAGGAGGGACGAGGCACAGGAAGGACGAGGCACAGGAGGGACGGGCCACAGGAGGGACGGGCCACAGGAGGGACGAGGCACAGGAGGGATGAGGGCCACAGGAGG